TGAACAACGGCAACATGACAACGTTTTCATTGGTCCCTCTTCTTTAGAGAAGACCAGGAAATGATGGATACACGGATCGTGTTACAAATACAATAGGCACGCAATGACTCTAAATAATAATGATCACGCCACCAAACACACATTCAGACTAAAGGAACCAGCCTGTTTAGGAAAATGTGAGAAGTAGAAAGTACAGGTATTTGTGTTCAACATGTAAGAAGTAGAAAGTACAGGTATTTGAGTTCAACATGTAAGAAGTAGAAAGTACAGGTATTTGTGTTACAAAATGTAAGAAGTAGAAAGTAAAGGTATTTGTGTTCAACATGTAAGAAGTAGAAAGTGGTCAGAAAAACAAGTAGTGGAGTAAAGTACTGATACCAGAAGCATGTACTTAAAGGGGACCTATCATGCAAAATGCACTTTTGTACGTCTTTTCTACATGAACATGTGTCCCCGGTGTTCCAGGGAACTCACCAAGTGTCAGAAAACACAACCCTCTCTATTTTCCTCCATACCCAAATCTCTTAAAAAGGGGCTGCAACGGATCTGATACAGACTGATCCAGATTTGAACACTTCTATGACGTCACAGAAGTGGCGCTACGGCTATTGGGCCAACTCCACCAATCAGGAGGAGACAGCCACGGACATTGCCGTTGGAAAGCGCTGGAGACGCTGTAGTACATATGCCAGGCCTGTAGATGGTGCTGTTCTCACAGAATCAGCCCATGATGCAAAGACAGTGTTAAATTGAGCGAAATGAGGAATGGCTAAAATGCATGATCTGTTTGGTATTTTGAAAAATAAAAAGTATAAATATGCCTTATATAGGTATGGTCCTACACTATATTATTCAAATATAGCATGATAGGTCCACTTTAAGTACAGTAACGAAGTATTTGTACTCCATTACTTCCCACCTGTGTTAAGGACTAAGCACACATGCTGAGTGTGGAATAAAGAGGGTTAAAAAGGATCTTTTTGTGTGGTGTTGTACCGTGCTGCGGTGCGTTCAGGGCCGGGCGGGCTTGGTGCTGCGGGAGGATCTCCATCCGGACGGTCTGACAGGAAGCAGAGAGCAGCTGAGTGGCTTCGGCCAGAGAACAAAACTCCATCGACTTCCCGTCTACAGACAGGATGTGATCTCCTGCATGCAGAGCACCACACCTACACACAGCAGGAGGAGGAGGAGGGGATTATAGCCTCTGCAGACCGTTAACATGCACAGAAACCATACAATACAATCCCTCAAAACTCACCTTTTCCCTTTTACCTTCAACTCCTAATCCCTAGCCCCTCGCCCTAATTCCACCTAGCTTAGCACTTCTTACTTCTTTACTTGCGCCATATATAAATCACATGTATTATTATTACATTGCACACTACAGCGAAGGGAAATCCCCAAAAAGCAGAATAATGCCTCTTAAAATTCCAAATTCAATATAAAACAGAGAAATCAAAGCACGCTGTATTTACTGCATTTTAAATACATATAAATATCTTTACTGTTTTACATTAAGACTTCAGGTAAAGGTGCGTTAACGTCTCTTGTGGCCAAACATGGTATTACAACAACAAATCACACAGTTCATTTTTTAAATAAAATAACTTGTATATGAAACTGTCCTCTATGATATGAAAGCAGTGAGTTGTGTTACCTGTCTGCGATGCTGGCGGGCTTCACCTTGTCGATGACGATCACCTGTTTGCTGCAGAATATGGAGGTGGACAGAGCCACGCCCAGACTGGAGCCCGTCGCCTTGGCAACCTCAACCAGCAACGGGCCGGACGCCGTGGCAACGGAGTCTGACGGGAAACGGAGAAAACACAAACATATTTTTTTCAATTCTATTTTTTATTAAATGTTATTATATTTCTAATAATATTTGTATTACATTACAAAACAATTGTTGAGTAAAATGTTGTTGCCCTTTCATTTTGTTTACTGTATAATATTATTATTTTATCGTTGTCAAAATTAATAAACAACAAATAATATATTCCAATTTACTCATATGTAATAGGGGGTGTTTCTCAATGTCGAGGAAGGATCCTTCAGAGCCACTATTTCAAGGATGCTACATCATCGAGTCCCGCCGAAGGACTGTTCCATTGCCTTTTATCTGTTCAACGTCAACATATTTTATTTTTATATATTGTTTTATTTATATTTCATTGTTATTATATTTGTATATATTTTTCAATAATATTTTTATTTTTATAAATGTTTCAAAAATATTTGTATTACATGTTATTCGATTAAAATTCAACTTTTTTAAATCTTCTGTCTGTTTTAAATTATTTAACATTTGTGGTCATTTTGTATCCCAACCCTGAATGAATGATACCCTCAGTATGGGATCAGAGCGTTCGACTGACCCATGATTGAGACGTCGTACTCCAGCAGCAGCGTGGCTTCCTGTCCGCACTGCTTCAGGATGCTCATGGCCTCCGACAGACTGCTGCCATGGAGACGGATACCATCGATGCTTAGCAACCTGTCGCCGGGCTTCACCGTGCCTTCCCTGAAAAAAGAAAAAAAGAAAGACAGGACGTTCAGAACCTTCTTCACTCGAGTTAAAACTTATAACTTATTTTGTACTATCGTGAATCAAAAGAGGCCTTATGGTTTGCAATTGCTAAAATCCCAAAGTTCCGGAACACAGTGACATCACTACGGAACACCCGCGCTCCTATTGGCTAGCGCTGCAACACATTGTATGTGATAGGCTAAGGGGCGGGACACGTTTCTACAGGACCTCTTTAAAAATAAAGAGGTCAGAGGTGAGTCACCTGTCAGCGGGTCCGCCGTGTCTGATGGTTGTTATGACGATCGGCCGTGCCTTGTTCCTGTCTTCAGTCGCCCCGCCTGCACACACACAGCGTGTATTTATTATAACACACACACACACACACACACACACACACACACACACACACACACACACACACACACACACACACACACACACACACACACACACACAGAGCTGTACTCACCTCGGATGACGAAGCCGAAGCTGTTCCCGTCTTTGTGAAGCGTGACTTCCACGTTTTTGAACATGACCCCTGACCCCTGCACTGCTGCAACACACATACACAGACACACACCACGTTACAAAATATATGTAATTAAATATACAACAAATATATATAATATGTGTAATATAAAGCGCTTTGAGCATTCGGAAAAGCACTAAATAAATGTAATTAATTTTACTCACATTTTGCACATATGACTCAGACATGTATCAAAACATTTTAAGGTATTTAAAAAAAAATTATGCATAATTTTCATACATTTAACTGAACATTTATCATGGTTTTTGGACATTTTTTATACATTTTCAGGACGATATTTTACTTTTGTCCTCAGAATCTTTTGGTTTAAATTTTCA